GATGTTGTCGCTCGGTCTGGAATGTTCCACAGTTTGGCATTAAACTTTTTCTATCTCCATGGAAACGAGCAGGTGACCGTGTGAATGTGACAGAGTGCAGCTTTAATCAAACATAATAAACCCTTAAAGGAGGAGGCGGAGTTAGAGGCGGAGTTAGAGGCGGAGTTAGAGGCGGAGTTAGAGGCGGAGTTGGAGGCGGAGTTGGAGGCGGAGCTCGTACCGACAGAGCGGATGAATCTGAGCGCGCCCAGAACCTGCTGTTTGGACAGAAGAACCTCCACGATCTCGTCGTTCGCCGTCGACAAACGCTGAAAACACACAAACACACACACACAAGTAAATACACACAAACACACACACAAGTAAATACACACAAACACACACAAGTAAATAAATACACACAAACACACACAAGTAAATAAATACACACAAACACACACACACATGTAAATACACACAAACACACACACACACACACACAAGTAAATACACACAAACACACACAAGTAAATAAATACACACAATACACACACAAGTAAATAAATACACACAATACACACACAAGTAAATAAATACACACACAAGTAAATAAATACACACAATACACACACAAGTAAATAAATATACACAATACACACACAAGTAAATACACACAATACACACACAAGTAAATACACACAAACACACACACAAGTAAATACACACACACAAGTAAATAAATACACACAATACACACACAAGTAAATACACACAACACACACAAGTAAATAAATACACACAATACACACACAAGTAAATACACACAAACACACACACACAAGTAAATACACACACACACAAGTAAATAAATACACACAAACACACACACAAGTAAATAAATACACACAATACACACACAAGTAAATACACACAAACACACACACAAGTAAATACACACAACACACACACAAGTAAATAAATACACACAATACACACACAAGTAAATAAATACACACAATACACACACAAGTAAATAAATACACACAATACACACACAAGTAAATACACACAAACACACACAAGTAAATACACACAACACACACACAAGTAAATACACACAATACACACACAAGAAAATAAATACACACAATACACACACAAGTAAATACACACAAACACACACACAAGTAAATAAATACACACAAGTAAAGACACACAAACACACACACAAGTAAATAAATACACACAATACACACACAAGTAAAGACACACAAACACACACAAGTAAATAAATACACACAATACACACACAAGTAAATACACACAAACACACACACAAGTAAATAAATACACACAACACACACACAAGTAAATAAATACACACAATACACACACAAGTAAATACACACAAATACACAAGTAAATACACACAACATACACACAACATACACAGAACATACACAAGTAAATAAATACACACAAACACACAACATAAACAAATATACAAATACACAAAATACACAAACACACAACATACACAATATAAACAAACAAATACACAACATAAACAAATACACAAAAACACAAGAGAGAGACAGTCAATCCTGCTATTGTTTATATATTGAAATTATACTTTTTTGTTCCTGGTTTAGTCCTGGTTTAGTCCTGGTTTAGTCCTGGTTTAGTCCTGGTTTAGTCCTGGTTTAGTCCTGGTTTAGTCCTGGTTCAGGTCTCACCTTGAGCATGTCCAGAGAGAGTTGGTGTGCGGGGGGGTAGGTGCTCTCCAGAGACAGAAGTAAACACGCCTCAAACACACAAACACAAACACACAAACACAGAACGATTATTTAAATGTGAAATGGTGAATGTAAAACTTAAAGTCTTAAAATATAAAATAAATAAACATTTAGTGTGAGTTGTTTGTGTAGTTTGTGTAGTAGTTTGTGTAGTAGTTTGTGTAGTAGTTTGTGTAGTAGTTTGTGTAGTAGTTTGTTGTAGTAGTTTGTGTAGTTTGTGTAGTAGTTTGTGTAGTAGTTTGTGTAGTAGTTTGTGTAGTTTGTGTAGTAGTTTGTGTAGTTTGTGTAGTAGTTTGTGTAGTTTGTGTAGTAGTTTGTGTAGTAGTTTGTGTAGTAGTTTGTGTAGTAGTTTGTGTAGTTTGTGTAGTAGTTTGTGTAGTGTGTGTAGTAGTTTTGTGTAGTAGTTTGTGTAGTAGTTTGTGTAGTTTGTGCAGTAGTTTGTGTAGTTTGTGTAGTAGTTTGTGCAGTAGTTTGTGTAGTAGTTTGTGCAGTAGTTTGTGCAGTAGTTTGTGCAGTAGTTTGTGTAGTAGTTTGTGTAGTAGTTTGTGTAGTAGTTTGTGCAGTAGTTTGTGCAGTAGTTTGTGTAGTAGTTTGTGTAGTAGTTTGTGTGTAGTTTGTGCAGTAGTTTGTGTAGTAGTTTGTGTAATTTGTGTAGTAGTTTGTGTAGTAGTTTGTGTAGTAGTTTGTGTAGTAGTTTGTGTAGTAGTTTGTGTAGTTTGTGTAGTAGTTTGTGTAGTTTGTGTAGTAGTTTGTGCAGTAGTTTGTGTAGTAGTTTGTGTAGTTTGTGTAGTTTGTGTAGTAGTTTGTGTAGTAGTTTGTGTAGTAGTTTGTGTAGTAGTTTGTGTAGTAGTTTGTGTAGTAGTTTGTGTAGTAGTTTGTGTAGTAGTTTGTGTAGTAGTTTGTGCAGTAGTTTGTGTAGTAGTTTGTGTAGTTTGTGTAGTTTGTGTAGTAGTTTGTGTAGTAGTTTGTGTAGTAGTTTGTGTAGTTCGTGTAGTTTGTGTAGTAGTTTGTGTAGTAGTTTGTGCAGTAGTTTGTGCAGTAGTTTGTGCAGTAGTTTGTGCAGTAGTTTGTGTAGTAGTTTGTGTAGTAGTTTGTGTAGTAGTTTGTGCAGTAGTAGTTTGTGCAGTAGTTTTGTGTAGTTTTTGTGCAGTAGTTTGTGCAGTAGTTTTGTGTAGTAGTTTGTGTAGTAGTTTGTGTGTTTGTTTGCAGTAGTTTGTGCAGTAGTTTGTGTAGTAGTTTGTGTAGTAGTTTGTGCAGTAGTTTGTGCAGTAGTTTGTGCAGTAGTTTGTGCAGTAGTTTGTGCAGTAGTTTGTGCAGTAGTTTGTGCAGTAGTTTGTGTAGTAGTTTGTGCAGTAGTTTGTGTAGTAGTTTGTGCAGTAGTTTGTGCAGTAGTTTGTGCAGTAGTTTGTGCAGTAGTTTGTGCAGTAGTTTGTGTAGTAGTTTGTGTAGTAGTTTGTGTAGTAGTTTGTGTAGTTTGTGTAGTAGTTTGTGCAGTAGTTTGTGTAGTAGTTTGTGGTACCAGGGGTTTGGAGTCACTGAGGACGTGGTATTGGAGAAACTGGTGTAACATGTAGAAGAGCTCGTGCTGGACCAGAGTCTTGATCACCAACTCATACAGATAATGCTGAAACAACACGAGTCAGAGTGAAACAACACGAGTCAGAGTGAAACAACACGAGTCAGTCAGAGTGAAACAACACCAGTCAGAGTGAAACAACACCAGTCAGAGTGAAACAACACCAGTCAGAGTGAAACAACACGAGTCAGAGTGAAACAGAGAGTCAGAGTGAAACAACAAGAGTCAGAGTGAAACAGAGAGTCAGAGTGAAACAACACGAGTCAGAGTGAAACAACACGAGTCAGAGTGAAACAACATGAGTCAAGAGTGAAACAACACCAGTCAGAGTGAAACAACACGAGTCAGAGTGAAACAGAGAGTCAGAGTGAAACAGAGAGTCAGAGTGAAACAACACGAGTCAGAGTGAAACAACACCAGTCAGAGTGAAACAACACCAGTCAGAGTGAAACAACACGAGTCAGAGTTAAACAGTGAGTCAGAGTTAAACGGTGAGTCAGAGTTAGAAGAGTCAGAGTTAAACGGTGAGTCAGAGTTAAACGGTGAGTCAGAGTTAAACAGAGAGTCAGAGTTAGAAGAGTCAGAGTTAAACAGTGAGTCAGAGTTAAACGGTGAGTCAGTGTTAAACGGTGAGTCAGAGTTAAACGGTGAGTCAGAGTTAAACAGTGAGTCAGAGTTAAACAGTGAGTCAGAGTTAAACAGTGAGTCAGAGCTAAACAGATAGTCAGAGTTAAACGGTGAGTCAGAGTTAAACGGTGAGTCAGAGTTAAACAGTGAGTCAGAGTTAAACAGTGAGTCAGAGTTAAACAGTGAGTCAGAGTTAAACAGTGAGTCAGAGTTAAACAGTGAGTCAGAGTTAGAAGAGTCAGAGTTAAACAGTGAGTCAGAGTTAAACGGTGAGTCAGAGTTAAACAGAGAGTCAGAGTTAAACAGTGAGTCAGAGTTAAACAGTGAGTCAGAGTTAAACAGTGAGTCAGAGTTAAACAGTGAGTCAGAGTTAAACGGTGAGTCAGAGTTAAACAGAGAGTCAGAGTGAAGTGTTGCAGTGTTGTTCCTGACCTGGACGGTGATCTGGCTCTGGTTCAGGGAGCGGATATACTCCATGAGAACAGCGATGGTGAATTTATGACACACGTCCTGAACACACAAAAGTGAACGTCACAATCAAAACTCAAACTAACATCTCTGAATCAATAAAGAGTTTGTGTCTGTGTCTGTGTCTGTGACTGTGTCTGTGACTGTGTCTGTGTCTGTGACTGTGTCTTGTGTTTATGTCGGCGTCACCTTCTTCTCGGTGAACGCCGACAGCACGTGTGTGTACATGTCCGACTGGTCGATCACAGCCTGAGTCCTGATTGGACGCTTCTGAGCCGCGCTTCCTCCTCTCGCCCCCGACTCCATCGCCTGAAACAGGAAGTACACTCACAAACAGGAAGTACACTCACAAACAGGAAGTACACTCACAAACAGGAAGTACACTCACAAACAGGAAATGCAGTTATGTAAATATAAAGTATCCCATTAGCCCAGTGTTTCAGTATTAGTCTGTCTGAGTATCAGAGTACATGAGTATCAGAGTACATGAGTATCAGAGTACATGAGTACTTGAGTACTTGAGTATGAGTATAAGCTCCGCCTCTGACCTGAGCGTAGCTTTGCTCCGCCTCCAGATATTCCTTATACACCTGGTTGAGTTTGTCAAACACTGTGGCCACGACAGGAAGACTCCCCCTGTCTGCACACTCCAGAACTGCAACACAAACAACAACACAACACAACTACTCACACTCCTCTGACACACAAGTGTGTGTGTGGATATATATATGTATATGTGTGTGTGTATGGTGTGTAGTGTGTATAGTTCTTACTCTGTTGACACACAGACAGAATAACTGGTTTACAGTCTCTGCGTCTCAGGAGGAAGTCCATCAGTTTTCCTTTGTCCTGCAGCAGGTGCACAGTGGGCGGCAGACGAACCTCCAGGTACCACAGGTAACCTACAAATACACCAATATAACATGTACACACAGTACAGACATGTACACACAGTACGACATGTACACACAGTACGACATGTACACACAGCACGACATGTACACACAGCACGACATGTACACACATGTACACACAGTACGACATGTACACACAGCACGACATGTACACACAGTACGACATGTACACACAGTACAGTACACACAGTACGACATGTACACACAGTACGACATGTACACACAGCACACATGTACACACAGTACACACAGTACACACAGTACACACACAGTACACATGTACACACAGCACAACATGTACACACAGTACGACATGTACACACAGTACGACATGTACACACAGTACAACATGTACACACAGCACGACATGTACACACAGTACACACATGTACACACAGCACAACACACACAACAACATGTACACACAGCACACACAGTACACACAGTACGACATGTACACACAGTACATGTACACACAGTACAACATGTACACACAGTACAACATGTACACACAGTACGACATGTACACACAGTACGACATGTACACACAGTACAACATGTACACACAGTACAACATGTACACACAGTACAACATGTACACACAGTACAACATGTACACACAGTACACAGTACAGTACAACATGTACACACAGTACAACATGTACACACAGTACATGTACACACAGTACAACATGTACACACAGTACACATGTACACACAGTACAACATGTACACAGTACACACAGTACACACAGTACACACAACAACAGTGTACACACACAGTACAACATGTACACACAGTGTACACACAGTACATGTACACACAGTACAGTACACACAGTACACATGTACACACAGTACAACAGTACACACAGTATGACATGTACACACAGTACAACATGTACACACAGTACAACATGTACACACAGTACAACATGTACACACAGTGTAACACGTACACACAATTAACCTACAAATACACAAACACACTCTAAATACACTATAATAACAAATATAACACAGTTAACCTCAGATATAATTATACTGTATAAAACTATAACTGTAACTATAATATAATAAAACATCATGTGCACAGGTCACATGACACATGTGCACAGGTCACATGACACATGTGCCACAGGTGCATTGTGGGACATTGTGGACCTGTAAATCTCAAAACTTCTTCACAGACTCGTGTTTCTCTCACGTCCAACTCAAACACAAATACACCAATATAACTGTACACACAGTACATGTACACACAGTACGACATACACACAGTACACACATGTACAATCGTGCACACAACAGTACAACATACACACAGACACATGTACATACACAGTACACACAGTACACATGTACACACGTACACACAGTGTACACACAGTACAACATGTACACACAGTACGACATGTACACACAGTACAACATGTACACACAGTACAACATGTACACACAGCACAGTACACACAGTACACACAGTACACACAGTTACACACAGTGTACAACAGTACAACATGTACACACAGTACTGTACACACAGTATGTACACACACAGTACAACATGTACACACAGTACGACATGTACACAGTACGACATCACACAGTGTACACACAGTACATGTACACACAGTCAACATGTACACACAGTACAACATGTACAACAGTACAACATGTACACACAGTACACACAGTACGACACATGTACACAGTACACATGTACACACAGTGACATGTACACACAGTACACAACACACACATGTACACACAGTACAACATGTACACACAGTACATGTACACACAGTACAACATGTACACACAGTACAACATGTACACACAGTACAACATGTACACACAGTACATGTACACACAGCACAACATGTACACACAGTACAACATGTACACACAGTACATGTACACACAGTACAACATGTACACACAGTACAACATGTACACACAGTACGACATGTACACACAGTACAACATGTACACACAGTACGACATGTACACACAGTACAACATGTACACACAGTGTAACACGTACACACAATTAACCTACAAATACACAAACACACTCTAAATACACTATAATAACAAATATAACACAGTTAACCTCAGATATAATTATACTGTATAAAACTATAACTGTAACTATAATATAATAAAACATCATGTGCACAGGTCACATGTGCACAGGTCACATGACACATGTGCACAGGTGCATTGTGGGACATTGTGGATCCTGTAAATCTCAAACTTCTTCACAGACTCGTGTTTCTCTCACGTCCAAACTCAGACTCTTTTATTTCACTTCTTTGTTGTGTAAAAGTTCCACACTGGAGCTTTAAAGTGAGTCGTACCTTCACTGGCGCTGATGATGATGTCGGGCTGAAACACGCTCCACGAAGAAGAGTCTGAGAGGTCAAAGGTCACAACACAAACACTGTCCCACACTGTCCTACTGTGTCCTGTTACTGCAGTACTCTGCTCTGTAGTACTGTAGTACTGTGGTACTGCAGTACTACAGTACTGTAATACTGTGGTGCTGTAGTATTGTAGTACTCTGTGTGTGGTAAATACAGTAGAGTAAGTTTATGTGTGTTTGTGTCATGAGTCTCAGTGAATCTACAGATTTACAGGTCAAAGAGAAGTTCAGTTCTGTCACTAAACAAAATCAACTCATCCAAGACGATCTTCTTCAGGTGTGTGTGTGTGTGTATTTGTGTGTATGTGTGTGTGTATATGTGTGTGTACATATGTGTGTGTACATATGTGTGTGTGTACTTGTGTGTAAGGATACAGAGCTGGCAGGGCACAGGAGGTTGTGACGGCACCACTGAAGGACCTGAGGAAACAGGAAAGTATCACAAAAAATCTCATTCATTCTGATTTATCACAGACATGAACAGTGTGTGTTGTGTCCTTGGGCAACACACTTCACCTCGTCTGTATGTGTATGTGTGTGTGTGTGTGTGTGTGTGTGTGTGTGTGTGTGTGTGTGTGTTGTTGGTGGGAGGAGCACATGTGGACAGTCTCACTTGTGTCAGTCTGCCCCAGGGCAGGTCACACACAGACTAATGTTTAAATAAAGTCACAGTGATCTGAGTCTGACACACACACTGACACATGTACACACACAGTTGTGTAGTTGTTTGTGTAGTTGTTTGTATAGTTGTATGCAGTTGTTTGTGTGTAGTTGTATAGTTGTTTGTGTAGTTGTTTGTATAGTTACATGTAGTTGTTTGTGTGTAGTTGTATAGTTGTGTGTGTAGTTGTATAGTTGTTTGTGTAGTTGTTTGTATAGTTGTATGTAGTTGTTTGTGTGTAGTTGTATAGTTGTTTGTGTAGTTGTTTGTATAGTTGTATGTAGATGTTTGTGTGTAGTTGTATAGTTGTGTAGTTGTTTGTGTAGTTGTTTGTATAGTTGTATGTAGTTGTTTGTGTGTAGTTGTATGTGTGTGTGTAGTTGTATAGTTGTGTGTGTAGTTGTTTGTATAGTTGTATGTAGTTGTTTGTGTGTAGTTGTATAGTTGTGTGTGTAGTTGTATAGTTGTTTGTGTAGTTGTTTGTATAGTTGTATGTAGTTGTTTGTGTGTAGTTGTATAGTTGTGTGTGTAGTTGTATAGTTGTTTGTGTAGTTGTTTGTATAGTTGTATGTAGTTGTTTGTGTGTAGTTGTATAGTTGTGTGTGTAGTTGTATAGTTGTTTGTGTAGTTGTTTGTATAGTTGTATGTAGTTGTTTGTGTGTAGTTGTATAGTTGTGTGTGTAGTTGTATAGTTGTTTGTGTAGTTGTTTGTATAGTTGTATGTAGTTGTTTGTGTGTAGTTGTATAGTTGTGTGTGTAGTTGTTTGTGTAGTTGTTTGTATAGTTGTATGTAGATGTTTGTGTGTAGTTGTATAGTTGTGTGTGTAGTGTGTAGTTGTGTAGTTGTTTGTATAGTTGTATGTAGTGTTTGTGGTAGTTGTATAGTTGTGTGTGTAGTTGTATAGTTGTTTGTGTAGTTGTTGTATAGTTGTATGTAGTTGTTTGTGTAGTTGTGTGTGTAGTTGTTTGTGTAGTTGTTTGTATAGTTGTATGTAGTTGTTTGTGTGTAGTTATATAGTTGTGTGTGATAGTTGTATAGTTGTTTGTGTAGTTGTTTGTATAGTTTGTATGTAGTTGTTTGTGTGTAGTTGTATAGTTGTGTGTGTAGTTGTATAGTTGTTTGTGTAGTTGTTTATAGTTGTATGTAGATGTTGTGTGTAGTTGTAGTTGTTGTGTGTGTAGTTGTGTAGTTGTTTGTGTTGTTGTGTGTAGTTGTTTGTAGTTGTATAGTTGTATGTAGTTGTTTGTGTGTAGTTGTATAGTTGTTGTGTAGTAGTTGTTTGTAGTTGTTTGTATAGTTGTATGTAGTTGTTTGTGTGTAGTTGTATAGTTGTGTTGTAGTTGTATAGTTGTGTGTGTAGTTGTTTGTATAGTTGTATGTAGTTGTTTGTGTGTGTAGTTGTATAGTTGTGTGTGTAGTTGTATAGTTGTTTGTGTAGTTGTTTGTATAGTTGTATGTAGTTGTTTGTGTGTGTTGTGTTGTAGTTGTAGTTGTGTGTAGTTGTTTGTAGTGTTGTTGTGTGTTGTATAGTTGTGTGTGTTTGTGTAGTTGTTTGTGTATTGTTTATAGTTGTATGTAGTTGTTTGTGTGTAGTTGTTAGTTGTGTGTGTAGTTGTATAGTTGTTTGTGTAGTTGTTTGTATAGTTGTATGTAGTTGTTGTGTGTAGTTGTATAGTTGTGTGTGTAGTTGTTTGTGTAGTTGTTTGTATAGTAGTTGTATGTAGATGTTTGTGTGTAGTTGTATAGTTGTGTGTGTAGTTGTATAGTTGTTTGTGTAGTTGTTTGTATAGTTGTATGTAGTTGTTTGTGTGTAGTTGTATAGTTGTGTGTGTAGTTGTGTAGTTGTACCGGACAGGGGGAGCCTGTAGGGGGCGATGGAGCGCGCAGGCAGCACAGGTTGGTGTGTGACGGGACAGTCCGGCTCCTTCAGTTTTATGTCGAAAATCAAAGACGTCTGAAAAACACACAAACACAAACACACCGTCACACTGTCACACCGTCACACTGACACACCGTCACACCGTCACACTGACACACCGTCACACTGACACACCGTCACACTGACACACCGTCACACCGTCACACCGTCACACCGTCACACCGTCACACTGTCACACCGTCACACCGTCACACGTCACACCGTCACACCGTCACACCGTCACACGACACGTCACACTGACACACCCGTCACACCGACACCTGTCACACTGTCACACCGTCACACCGTCGGACATCACACCGTCACACCGTCACACTGTCACACACCGTCACACCGTCACACCGTGTCACACCGTCACAGACCGTCCACCGACACACCGTCACACGTCACACACTCACACGTCACACCGTCGGACATCACACCGTCACACCGTCACACCGTCACACCGTCACACCGTCACACGACACCGTCACCGTCACACCGTCACACCGTCACACCGTCACCGTCACACACACCGTCACACTACACCGTCACACCGTCACACCGTCACACACACCGTGGTCACACACACGTCACACCGTCACACCGTCACACGTCACACCGTCACAGCACACAGTCACATGTCACACTGTCACAGTCAAACTGTCACACCGTCACACCGTCACACACAGTCACACCGTCACACCGACACTGTCACAACGTCACACGTCACACACGTGTCTCACACTGTCACGCTGTCACACCGTCACACTGCACACGTCACACACACGTCACACTGACACAACACCCGTCACATCACACACTGTCACATGTCACACACCGTCACACCGTCACACGACACACACTGTCACACTGTCACACTGTCACACAGTCACTGTGTGTGTCATGTGTGTGTGTCAACACCGTCACACTGTCACACTGACACTGTGTGTGTGTGTCACTGTGTGTCATGTGTCACACCTGTGTGTCACACATGTGTGTGTGTGTCACACTGTCACACTGTGCTGTGTAAAGCTGCACTCTGGAACTTCGGTGCAGTCACAGGATGCATTAAACACAAGCGTCTCTCTGGAGTAAGGTGATGTCACGATGCAGTTACAGGTCAGATCTGTGGAGACGCGATCCCCTCAACCACACAATACAGGATTTACATTTTTAACAATAAATGAGAGAAGTTTAATGTAACACTGTGGAACATTCCAGGAAAAGCAGTAACATCTCCATGGAGACAAGCAGAAAATGGCCTCATCAGAAAAGTTACACAGTGAACCTTTGTGTGTGTGTGTGTGTGTGTGTGTGTGTGTGTGTGTGTGTGTGTGACCTGTGTGTGTGTGTGTGTGTGTGAGACCTGTGAGTGTGTGATCTGTGAGCTGTGTGTGTGTGTGTGATGTGTGTGACGACCACCAGGTTGTCGACGACGTTCAGAGCGAATTTCCCCGTCGTGTTTAACTTCAGAACGTGAGACTTTTTACACTGACCCTCCCTGAAAAATACACAACACACAAATAAAACACACAAATAAGACACAAAAACACACAAATAACACACAAAAACACACAAATAAGACACAAAAACACACAACACACAAATTAAACACACAAATAAGACACAAAAACACACAACACACAAATAAAACACACAAATAAGACACAAAAACACACAAATAAGACACAAAAACACACAACACACAAATAAAACACACAAATAAGACACAAAAACACACAAATAACTCACAAAAACACACAAAACACACAAATAAGACACAAAAACACACAAATAAAACACACAAATAAGACACAAAAACACACAAATAACTCACAAAAACACACAAAACACACAAATAAGACACAAAAACACACAAATAAAACACACAAATAAGACACAAAAACACACAACGCACAAATAAACACACCATAATAAATGAAATATACAGAAGAAACTTCACATTCAAGAGTCTCAGCTCCTCACAGACTCTGCTGACCCCTGAGCAGACAGGAGCAGACAGGTGCAGACAGGAGCAGACAGGAGCAGACAGGTGCAGACAGGAGCAGACAGGAGCAGACAGGTGCAGACAGGAGCAGGAGCAGACAGGAGCAGACAGGTGCAGACAGGAGCAGACAGGAGCAGACAGGTGCAGACAGGAGCAGACAGGTGCAGACAGGAGCAGACAGGTGCAGACAGGAGCAGACAGGTGCAGACAGGAGCAGACAGGAGCAGACAGGTGCAGACAGGTGCAGACAGACAGGAGCAGGTGCAGACAGGAGCAGACAGGTGCAGACAGGAGCAGACAGGAGCAGACAGGTGCAGACAGGAGCAGACAGGAGCAGACAGGTGCAGACAGGTGCAGACAGGAGCAGACAGGTGCAGACAGGTGCAGACAGGTGCAGACAGGTGCAGACAGGTGCGTTCTTACCTGGGCAGGTGATAGAGGACGACTTCTGCACTGGGGCTGTTGGCCGAGCGAGAGTGATGCTTCAGGTACATCACATACAACTGCCCATAACTGAAAATACACATGTTATTACACTGTTATTCATGTTTTATTACATATATTATTATAAATATACTGAAATGTAAAAGATTAACAACAACTGAACATAACTGAAAATATACACATGTTTTTACTCTGTTGTAAATGTTATACTGTTAAATAAATAAATAAAATTAAATATAAAGGATAAAATACAGCTGAACATAAATGTGAATATAAACATGTTATTACTCTGTTATAAATGTTATATTATTATAAATATACTGAAATATAAAAGATAAAGAACAGCTGAACATAACTGAGAATATACACGTTATTACTCTGCATTACTCTTATTATTTAGTTGAATTTTAATCTTTATGATTATTTATGTTTTGATTTGTTTTTAATTATGATTTTAAAATATTTCTTATTCTGTAAAACACTTTGAATTACTTTGTGTACAAATTGTGCTGTACAAATAAACTTGCCTTGCCTTATCATAAATAAAATTAAATATAAAAGTAGATGTACAGCCGACCAAAACTGACAATCTAAACCCAGACGATCTTATATTTAACAGAATAATAATAAAAGATAAAGTACAGCTGAACATAAATGTGAATATAAACATGTTTTTACTCTGTTATAAATGTTATATTATTATAAATATACTGAAATATAAAAGATAAAGTTCAGAGGAACATAACTGAGAATATAAACGTTTCATTTTGTTAAATATTGATGATTCCAGCTTCCTGTTTACAGACGCCATTTTGAGCACTTTTCATCATTAATAATGTATTGACTTGTTAATTGCCACGGCAACAGCGCGGCTCAAACCCTCTGAAGCTCTGGATGAAACTCGCCGAGAGGAAAACACCACGGAGAAACACAAACACAAGAACCAAACGCTAAACTGAAAAAAAACAGGACAGATTTAAACGTGAGTGTGGACGATGTTGTTTTACATGGTTGTCATGGTGACGTCTCTCTCGGACAGGCTGAGCTTGGCGGGTTTGGGGACGACAGGAAGCTCGATCTCAAACTTGGACATTTTAGACATCGTCCCGGTCTGAAAAACACAAACATAAAACTTTAAATACAACTTTAAATAAAACTTGAAAACGTCTCATTCTGTCCATCAGGGGGCGAACTGGAGCGTTCTCACACTGTACAACTTCATTAAAACGTGAACGTGTGTGTGTGTGTGTTGTGTGTGTGTGTGTGTGTGTGTGTGTGTGTGTTGTGTGTGTGTGTGTGTGTGTGTGTGTGTGTGTGTGTGTGTGTGTGTGTGTGTGTGTGTGTGTGTGTGTGTGTGTGTGTGTGTGTGTGTGTGTGTGTGTGTGTGTTGTGTTGTGTGTGTGTGTGTGTGTGTGTGTGTGTGTGTGTGTTGTGTGTGTGTGTGTGTGTGTGTGTGTGTGTGTGTGTGTGTGTGTGTGTGTGTGTGTGTGTGTGTGTGTGTGTGTGTGTGTGTGTGTGTGTGTGTGTATGTGTGTGTGTGTGTGTGTGTGTGTGTGTGTGTTGTGTGTGTGTGTGTGTGTGTGTGTGTGTGTGTGTGTGTGTGTGTGTGTGTGTGTGGTTATGTGTGTGTGTGTGTGTGTGTGTGTGTGTGTGTGTGTGTGTGTGTGTGTGTGTGTGTGTGTGTGTGTGTGTGTGTTGTGTGTGTGTGTGTGTGTGTGTGTGTGTGTGTGTGTGTGTGTGTGTGTGTGTGTGTGTGTGTGTGTGTGTTGTGTGTGTGTGTGTGTGTGTGTGTGTGTGTGTGTGTGTGTGTGTGTGTTATGTGTGTGTGTGTGTGTGTGTGTGTGTGTGTGTGTGTGTGTGTGTGTGTGTGTGTGTGTGTGTGTGTGTGTGTGATGTGTGTGTGTGTGTGTGTGTGTGTGTGTGTGTGTGTGTGTGTGTGTGTGTGTGTGTGTGTGTGTGTGTGTGTGTGTGTGTGTGTGTGTGTGTGTGTGTGTGTGTTGTGTGTGTGTGTGTGTGTGTGTGTGTGTGTGTGTGTGTGTGTGTGTGTGTGTGTGTGTGTGTGTGTGTGTGTGTGTGTGTGTGTGTGTGTGTGTGTGTGTGTGTGTGTGTGTGTGTGTGTGTGTGTGTGTGTGTGTGTGTGTGTGTGTGTGTGTGTGTGTGTGTGTGTGTGTGTGTGT